AGTTTCTCATGAGTTTGTCAAAGTATAAATAATATAAGTCTAGAAATGGAGAGATAAAAGTTGCTACCCCTATGAAAAGTTCGCACAATTTATTTTTGGGAGTTGATAGACTACAAAATATATTTTGAAAACAATCGAGGAGAATATATGAAAAAGCGCGAGTAGCGACGTAACTTCAAAGAGTGATGTTACAGTAGCGAGAAGATGTGATTAAGCAAATCATCAAGAAAAATAAATGGAGATGGTTACTTATTTCGATTGTAATTTAAAGAATTATTTATACCGAGAAATTATCAACGCGTGGTAAGTATGACACGATGGTCGAATTCAATGCTAAGGTTTTTTTATGCATTTGAAAAAGGGAAGGTGCGATCAAGTATTACCTGAATTATGCATTACCTAGGGAGCTGAGAATTGGAAAACAGATCAGGAATCAATTTTTCTCACCTGAAAATGTATCTCTAGTCCGAGATTATAAGTCATCAGTGCCCTATTTAGTTCACTGATGGAATCATTGCAGACAGCTTTATCATTAATATAAACTGAAGTGGCCACTAGAGTGTTAGCATTTAACTATCAAAAAGTCATTATAAAAAAAAGGAATAAGATTTTTTCTTGATTTTTGTCCCTATTAGGAAAAATTTAATTTGCATCAAAGTGCGTCGTTCGATTGATAAGTACATTTTCAAGTAAGAGACTATGATATGGTGGGTGTGGCTGTAATGAGGAAGAAACAGTTGATATTTCCTTCGAAAGTTAACCATTTTTGTCAGTAGTTGATAATAATATACATTTTCGACTTCCTTGACAAAAATTTAGTTTGTGTACTTGTGTAGGTGGGAATATTATTTGTTCACTTCCAGTGACTATTGAAATAAAAAAAAATTGCTTTGCTAAACAGTATAACGGTCGCTCTGTTAACTTAAATTCTTTCTTTGTGAAATTTATTGATAACCCATTGAAGCTATATTTCTCATAACCTCGCATTTTGATTTCTTTCTTGACAACAAAAAAAAAAAACACGCAAAGTTTCTCCGCAAGAAAAAAAAAACACTACGACAATATTGCTCTCTAATTTTTATTTCTTTTTTTTCAATTGAAAATAATTGCTATCAGCTTGAAGTATTGGCTATTTCTTGGGAAAAACTACCATATATGATGAAAAAGTCGTATTTAACACTAGTCTCTGGACAAATTACTAGTAAATCAAATAACTGAAAGTATTTATTACCTTCGTTCTTCATTATGCAAGCTCATGTCATTCATCGAAATAATATTTATTACATTAATTGCTTATCATTATCAGATCTACACACACTATATTATACTGTTTTTGCGGTTTATTTTTTATAAATTATCATCAGTGATAAAGATTGTTATTTGATATTAATTGTCAATCAGATGTTTGAGGATATTACCATCTTTTTCACAGGTCAAAAACATTCGAAATGAATAAACTGACGACTAGTTCTAAAAAATAAATTTGTGGAATAGTTGACGATTTCGGGAAAATTATCTATGTCAACATTAAAGTAAAGTAGTACAATCACTGCGAAACCAAGGCATTAAATGTCTGCTGATCTCTATGATCGTTTAATTGAATAATGATTTTTTTTCTTGAAAATTCAGTATTTTCTGATCATATCTCATTTTTATATCGTAATATATCAAAATATGAAATTTCAATCTTAAAATTAGAGTCTTTTACAGACGCAATAAAAGCAAATAAACTTAATGAGTAAGCAAACGATCAGTATTTGATGGAATATGATTTTGGATAAAAAAATATTAAGAAATTCTTGCATATGATAAAGAAGTTAAGAAAGATGTAGGACTTAAGGGAATTCTTTTTAGTGAGACAAAATTGTGACACCACATTTATAGCAGTTTCTTTATCAGTAAAGTCAGCTGTTGATGTCATTTCTGGTTGGCTACTTTCGTTTTCTATTTATACTCACTAGTCTTGTAAACACGTTAATGTTTAAACATTAGAGCAAACTGAAAGGTAATATGACGACCATATGTATTAATTAAATTTTAGTCTCATTAACTATCGTAGTCGATCAGTTCAAATATTATTTAGTTTTATTTCTCATATCTTTTCTTCATCATCAAGCATTATTTCTCATCCAGTAGGATAAATGGTATTATTGTTTAAGCATATAATCAAATTTCTTCAGATTCAAGGGCAACTTCTTATACAAAGTTTTTGTCTATTGTTGATATTCGAATTCTTCCATGTATATTTTTTGATAATTAGAAATGATCCAAAATTTACAACTTTTTTTTGGTATCTTCAAATCCTTGCAGATTTATTTGTTTTTACTTCAACGGAATATGTAAAAGAATTTTCTGCTAATGTTACTTAATGAACATTTCATAGAAGCTTTCATTTATTATTGATTGAAAGAATATTCATTAGTGGTTCAAAGGTTTTTTGACTATAGCGTAGTTAAATGAAAAAAAAAAAATGTGTAATTTAAATAGCTCTTCTTCACTTATGGAAATAATCAAATGAAGAAAGTTATGACTTCATGGAAGGCAAAATTTAGCTATTATAAAATAAGTTTGATTTTCTTATTATGACAAATTACTAAAAAAATTAAATAGAATAACATTGTGTTGCTAGGAGAATGATTATTCCATCAGTAATATTAAAATATAATGTCTTTTCACCACTTTATAGTACTTTTCATAGTGATTAAACATTACTTCCATATTTATAAATGACTATGTGTTGAATAAAGGATAGAACATATTGGAAGGTCAACAATATACTTTTTTAATATGTTAACAAAGATCTAATTAAAAAAGTGCTGCTTCTAGTTAATAATTAGTTAATAGTTTTTATTGGCTTTACAATTTATACAAGTTTTTTCTTTCTTTTTTTTGAATTTGGTATTCTAATGGGTTTTCTGCTTTAATGAAATTAGATTTTGAATTTTGAAATTATCTACTGATATTCATTCCATCTGATTAAATTATCTGCTTAAATCAGTTATATAAGTGACATTTAATTATAATTAATAGTATTTTAAGTAATTTTGTGAATTTCAATATGAATATTTTTTTGAGCTTAGTGTTTAAAAAAGAGGAAACATGGAATCACTATTTAGGGGAATTTATGCAAAAAATATAATTACTGTGTAAGCTATCCTTACTAACCTTAATAAAAGGTTTTAATTTTATTTTTACTGCCATTTTTTTTTAACGAATAAATCTTCTTTTGCTTAGGAGAAAATTTTATTAAAAAATATTTGCCAACATTCTAGAACTCCTTTGTTGTCATTTTTACCCAGATTTCTGGACAAAAATTTGTATAGAAAAAAAATCGGTAAAAAGCATATATTTAATTTAAGTACATTCGGAACACGTTCATATAATAATATTTCAACGAACGCTTTTTCTGAAGTACTTATTATAAAAGAAGATAATTTTCCTAATGAATGTTGTAGGAAGGACACTATGAAAACACTTTATTAAGGTTACCTTTGATTTCAATGCCAGGGAAGAAGAAGAGAGGAATACGATGTTGAATAGGATTAAATTAACTTGTGATCCGTTTGTGAAAAGGATAACTTATATTTTGTTTAGTTGTTTTAGTACTGTTAGACTTTCATTGCATAAATGATAAATTTATTCATTGATTCATCAGTAAGCTAATAGCTTGAAAGAAATCTTTGGCATTAAAATGAAAAGTTTTCGCTTGTGGTTCAGAATAACAATAATAAGTGCTTATGTGTTATTGAAAATTTTCATTTCCGTTGATGAAATTTGAAATTTCAATTCTCAGATAGATTTAGAAAATGGAATTCCATAATCATAAAAGTGTTATACATCTAAATACTTCTTGAATGTGAAAAAGCAGGATAGAAATTAACATCTAACAAAGCTTGCTCTCCGATTCTTTCTTGGGTGTTCGCTTTTATTCCTCAAAATATTATTGTTATTTATCTCTTTCCTCAAAAAAAAAATATTATTGCGTTTCAATATCCTTATGCAAAACTAATATTTGATATGATTATTATATTAATCAAATCCTAAACATTCAATTTCTAGAAAAAAAAAATTGCATTTTAGCATATTTGATTCCATAGATGAAATTGCAATAATCTTTAAAAAGCTATGGCTTCATTTACTGTTTCACAGTAAAGTTTCATTTTTGAAGCTAGAACTTCATTTGACCAACCACAGGTTTTTTTAACACATTTACAGCAGAATGTGAAAAAATTCATTTCTCCTGATATATCGTTGTACTAATTAATTAATCACGATTCTGAGTTAATGATAATGGAAGTCAAAATAATGGGAGAAGTTGTGAAAAGATGAAATAAAACTGGTGCAAATAATTATTGTAAATAAACATAAAAGACAGAACTGACAAATTTTCAAGCATATTAGACTTATAATAAAACATTATTAGATGATTCAATGTGCTAAACAACTAAGCACAATTTAATTTTTGTTCAAAATAATATTTTATATTGAACTTCAGATGAAAAATTATTCGCAATTATGTCGCATCCAGCAATACTACAAATCAAGTAATGAAGTACATGTCTTTAGTCAATATATTGTAATTTGTAATTTAAAAAATAATTTCGAAACTTGGAACTTCTTTTCAGGATGATACTACAATTTTCAGTTTACATCGCAGGAGGACTTGTAGTTTTTGCGCTCAACATATTTTATTTTGCTGCAATCGTTCGAACAAAGATAAATCGTGAAAGATACGGCCTCACAGGAATGGAGGTGTGATATTTTTTCAATAACTTTTCATTCTATGCTTCATATCCTTGGCCTATCACTTATAACTTAACTTATCTATATTGTTGGCTCGCCATCTATGAGACAACTTATATTGATACACAAAAAGAAACAGCGATTTTTGTTCTCAACGTTCCCTATAATTGAATGCTTTCTAAAATAAAGCAAAATGCTATTACAGTTTCTTATCATTCTCACAAAACTTATTATTGCAGTTTTTCGCGGATGGTTTAATGGGATTTGCAATAACATTAGCTGGTGCGACACGTAACGCGCAAATTTTTCTAGGAAATCAAAATGGTACAGTTTCAAGAATAATTTGTGTGATTATGCCGCATAATGTTATTTTGGCCTGGTTAGTATATCTTTCCTAACTTGAGTCAATCTTATTTCAATTTCTAAAAAGGAAAGTAAATTTTAAAGACGAAGAGTTAATTAGGTCGATAATACAAGCATAAAACGACTTATATTTTTCATATTTTTTTGGCATGAAAGTTAGCATATATTAAAAATAAAATATACAGTATATATTTTTTTGTTCCGACAGTTTCCATATTTCAATTTCTTGGCTTGGTATGACATTGTCGTCCATAAGGATAGTTAAAAATTTCTACTACTGTAAGAATATGTTACAAGGTATAACACAATTATATGTACGTCACAAGTATACCGTAGCAATTGAAATATGAAGCTTGTTAGAATATATCAGTAAGGAATAATTAATCATCTTTACTGATGGATACAGTAAGAGGGAAATTGAACTTGCACTATGCTCGATTTGGTTGATTTTACTGTTCAAATCTTCATTTACTTGCAGTACGGGTCAAATCTCTCATCGGTAACTCTTAAGTAACTCTTCAATGAACTCATTCATACTTCACTTCCAGCAGCAGTGACCTCATGATGTTTTCACTGCCACACTAGAAATTGTAACAATGATCACTGCTTTAGCCATCATGACCTCTTCTAATACCATTTTCTTCTTTCTTCCTTCCATCCATCAATTTCTAGCCTTTTTAACTTTATTTACTTTGTTTAAACTTTGTCTCATCCTTCTTTTTCTCCTTTTGTCGCTAAACTAATGCACAAACACAGAATTACCATTTGCGCTATGTACAAGAAACATTTGATTCCCGGCTATGGCAATAGACTTGCAGATGTAAGCCTTAATGACACTGCTTATTGCTTTTGTTAGAGCTTTTGTTACTTTTTTATTCCGATGATAATTGGCCAAAAAATTTAGGACAGAGCCGATGACCGCTATATCAATGCTTGTAGTTAGTATTGACCGGTTAATTTCAATCGTCAAACCTATTTTGTATTATAAAAAAATGTTGAATATTCAGCATTATTTGGTAAGATTTGCTTGTGTCTTTTATGTAAAGAAATGCTAATTGTTGAATTAGTCGCCGAAGAGAAGATGGAAAAGCGACGAAATGACTCATTGGTTACTGATACGACGAATAGTCAGAGATTTTTTGCAAGCAACATGGAATTACTAAAAGCATTTTATAAGCTGAAACATTATCATATTAAACAGTTAAAGTCGGAAAATCGCAACATCAACTCGTAATTTAATTACCACAAATGTCATAAAACTTTCAAATTACTTATAATTTTAAAAAAATTGAATTACAGATAGCTGGCAGCAATCTATCAATCCTTTTATTGATATCTGCAAGTGTACTTTGCTCATATCTAAATAATGTCAAAGTGCATTCTTTCTGCTGGTTAGCGCTATGAGACTTCCTAGTGTAAATTCTGGAATGAACAAATGAAATTATTTACAGATAACATTTAGAATTTCTTGCGAATTTTTCACCGCTTTTTGAATTTAATTTATCTCTTTTATAACTTAAAGTAAGTAATTTCAATCTTACACTTAACTCTGCATGGCCAAGTTTTAAACCATTCTTATAGGACACCAAATAGCCGATGTCCAATATTCAATCGAATATTCTATGGCACACGCATTAGTGCAGCTACTGGAAGTGTTATACTTTACATTGTCACTTTATTTATAGTGCGACGATATAGCAAAAGGATAAAAGAACAACAGGTTTTTATTTCTAATCTACATATGAGTTAAAATCATTCAAAGGAATTAATTACTTTTCCGCCCCGTTACATTCATCTCAAATAGCAATTGCATTATCAATGTGAACGGTAGATAATTGGTGAACTTAATTGCTGCATTTTCATGAATTTCACAAGAATCGAAATTTTTGATTTTGGCAAAGTGTTTGCTTCGAATGTGTCGGTGGAAGTAAATTTGAAGGGCTTTCAACATTTAATGAAGTTTCTGTGTTAAGCAACAAATCATCTTTTTGTATTGTGATCCATTATGAACTACAATTCGTAATTTTCCAATTTGCTATTTTCAGAATTCCGGATCAGTTAAGATAAACAAGCGTCAATTAAACTTTACAAAAACCGTAGGTTTGTCGTGTTTTGCGACTGCTGGCCTATATGTTTTGCCTATGATTATCGCATTCTACGAAACGAGTGATGAAATCATACCAAATTCTGTTTACTCAATAATTGTTATCATTTCATTTTTAAATTCTTTTTCCAAAACAATTATTGTTGGCTGTCGTTCACATGAAATTCGGGAAGCAGTTATAGATCTGATGCCGGGCGCATTTCGTATGTAAGTAGATTTCAAGTTTGTGTGGTCTTCATATACCATATTTTTTTTATTCTTTTACTTATTAACCAAAGTATGTGCATTGGGTAAAATAATGACAGTACTTTTAGCGGAGTCGTTTAAGTCAAGATATTTCGTTAAATTCTAATTTGAGAGCAAAGAATTAGAAAAGTTAGCTTTGTTATTCAACCGACAAAACAAACGAATAGTAAGTGATGGATATATGCCATCAAAAAGAATTTCCTATTTTGTATTATAATGCAGCGGTTGAATAATATTTGCTTTTCTGTGTAAGTCATGAAAAACTGAATTTTTCTTTTTTTTTTTTTTTTTTTAATCACAGTCAGCGTTTTAGCAAATTGTTTAACGTAGGAAGGATGAAAAAGTTATTTTATGATTTCTAAACTTTTTTCCTTTTTATATTAGTAATCAAATTAAACATAGTTGAATTGGAGCAAAATCTATTTAAGCTTGATTAAATGAGCATTACTTTCAATTTCAAATAATAAAACTTTATCGATTTACGCAATACAGATTTGGAATACATAAAGCACAAACTGCGAAAGTAATCGAATTCAAGACTCGACAACACTGTACAACTGGATGTTAGCAATGGTATTTACATATTTCGAACATATCTCTTAATTTTTTTTGAAGATATATTTGCTTCCATGTTTTCATCTTTGTTATGTGATATAGTGCTTTTTCTACAATTCAGAAATAGCAAAATTGTTGGATGTGAATAGTTTTAGATATCACTGGAAAACTGAATCGAATTATTGGCAATGAATATTTTGTTTTATATTAGCATTATCGCTTGAAAATCGGTAGTTATCACTTACATTATTACCCAGTTGAGATTTATATTCCGTGTGAAAAATTTTGATGTCATTAGCAGAATCTTAAAAATAAATTTTTAATTATTTTTGAATTTTGTGCCGTCTTATGCTACACTATCTTCAAAATTTGTGCTCTTTAATTTCAAAATTCCACACTGTTTAAAAATGCATGAAGTATTTGTTGATGAATTCAGGAAGAGATCTACTTCTAATCGCTATTTTATTTAACTCCTTCTTTGCTGACTAAATTTGTAGTGTTATCTGATAATTATTGCGCATTATTTGATAAAGCAGGAACTTAATTGTTATTTTGCATTTTTAGTAAAGGTTACCTATTTATGAATTTTATTTTTCATAATTTTCAGATATTTCCTCATACATATTTATTAATCTGAGCTATTCAATTTTTCTTTTTTTGTTGAAATTTCCCCCCCACCGTCTTTTGATTATATTGTTCACACACTGCTCGAGTAATGAAATATTGAAAATCATTTTTCGCAGATACTTTCATATATTGAAAAACACAGGAAACGTGAAATTTAGTTTTACATTTAGGCCTTTCTTAGAAATGTTTTTTGAATCTCTTTCATTGCATTTTAATCGATATTACAGTATTACGTTCTTATTTTAACATAATTTTTCAATTGCCTCTACTATTAATGAGTTTATTTTTAGCATTGATTTATTACATCTTTAATCTGAAATGTAGTAATAGTAGAGTAAAGTTATCTAAGTGGATTCGTTACTCTTTTCCTAAATTCTAAGGACACTTATCTCGTTAGAAAGAAGACATAATCTAAATTAGAAAAAAAAATTTCGTTTGCTTTAGTTGAATTGCTAGGAACAAAACAATAAACTTTATAAAATCTATGCACGATCAAATAGCTATTCTTAATGCGAAAAAAGAAAAGTAAAATTCTTAATTGATCAGGGAAAGTCCAGCTAAAAAGAGAACGAAGAGAGATAAGCTCAGAGTACAGTGTGGTTCTAGGTGGGACTCTGAATTGCATTTTTCATTTTCTTTCTACTTTTCATTGAACGAATGACTTCATCAGTCAGTTATTGCACTCTCTTCGAATTCCCTTCCTCCTTTCCTATTCTGATATGACAAATTTCTTGCTCTAATTAGAAATAAAACAATTGCCGCATACTTTAAGTAATATAATGAGATATATATTTAATACTAATAAACGTATTATGGGAAATCCTTCACAATTTGAAAGCATTACTCCACTGTGACAACGTCTGACGGCGATTAAACCGTTTTCTTCCTGCAATTTGAAACTGTGAGAATTTGAAACTTAATAATGAGGAATCACTACCAACAACCAGAGAATTATGTAGTTATGGGATCATATTATTGGTCAGATCCATGATTTTCAGCAAAGGAAATAAGACAGAATAAGATAGAGTGCCTAGTAAAAGCAATCAGTCTCGGCATCTCATCTTCTTTTTAACATATTAATATTGCAACAAAAATAACAATTACTAAAAATTTTTATTTTTTAAAATGAAAAAAGTTGACACTAATGATAGACAAACAATTAACAATTTCAAGACATGAAATGTGTACCATTCGGTTCGGTGGCAAGTTTCCTACAAGCTATGCCAGATATGCTTAAATGAATGCTTAAACAAGAAAGAGTAGAGAGTAGAGGATTAATTGAATTTTCAATTAAATCCACTTTACGCGAAATTTTCATAACGTCCCAGTCACTGTAACGTAGTGGACTTGGCAAACACGTTGGAATTTATTGCACTGGATTCGGGGGGGACGTACGTGGGTTTTTATGGGGATTTTTGGTGGTGTCGTATAGGTGGTGAAGGGTTTGAAGACGTGATTATTTGCTGTAGCTGTAATGGTATGTAGAAGTATATGGGAGGATGAAATATAGTTGCATTTAATTATTAACGGAAAAACTCATTAAAAGTTTGAGTTCCCTCAATTTTTTTTCCTAACTTTATTTAAGTCAGTTCATAGGCGTGAAACATTTTCTAATTCGGTATAACATTATCTGGATTGAAATTTAGAATAGTTTGTTTCGTGAATTATGTAAATGCAGCATTAATTGAACACTGTGACATCCATCCTCCATCCGTTCTCCTTCAATTCAACTTTAATTTTTCTTCCAGAATATTATTAGTTCAAGTTTTGAATGAATATCTCATCTTTCCGCTTACCGGTGATCCCCAGAATATCGTCTGATTTTTGGACTAGTATTTTTTCCAGAAGTAAAGGTATTGCTTCCGCTGCAGCTGGAAGGTTAGTAAAGTGAAGACTTTTTAAGATGATCAATTAAATGACATAATGAGCTTTCCAGTTATTTCAGAAGCTTTGCTTTTCAGTTCGTGCCATGTTTGTTTGTCAAGATCGAACTTTGTTTCTTCAGCACAACATCAGAATTTGATGTCGTTGTGGCGGGAGGTGGGATTGTTGGTTGCGCTACCGCAAGACAGTTAAAAATCAAAAATCCGGAATTGAAAGTAGCATTGCTAGAAAAAGAGGATCATCTGGGTAAGCATCGTGCACGCAAATCTGTTCGTTAAATGCCAGTTGCTAGAAAAACTTCACAACTCTCCCTTTCTCGATTCAAATAATGATGTTGTTGATTTCATGAGTGGTTAATGAAAAATTTGTTAGAATTGATGAAGAACACATCATCATTTGACATGAGATTTCGGATGAGAATATTCATTTAAAAAATTTAATTAAAAATTTAATTTCCTTGGAGAGATTATTCATGCCATTGATATTATTCTACAGAATTCAAATATAATAGGTAATTAGAAAATTCATAAGGAGGAGAATAAAATAATAATCCAGCAAGAGTTTCTGAATAAATTTTGGGAAATCGAATAGACGAGAAGCGGTGCTGCAGAATGTCGTTAGTAGGAGCTAAAAATATTGAGTTGAATAAGATTAGGCATTGTGAAGATCAAATTAATGAGACAGAAATTAATTAACCATCTTGTTCATAAAGGTTTGTTGGAAGTAGGATAGGATTTTATTGTGTGAAAAAAGTCTTCTTTGATTTGCAGCATTCCATCAAAGTGGTCATAACAGCGGTGTTCTTCATGCTGGAATTTATTATGCACCGGGTAGCCTGAAAGCAAAACTTTGTGTTCGTGGTAAGGTTTTCTTCCGAACTATCACTATCTCAAGTGAGCAAGTACCATGTGAAATAATTTCGGCATAAATTGTTAAATTTCGGTGAAGCTTTTGCCTACATCCTGATAGGATATTTCGACCTATATAGTTGTCGCAACCGTGACTTATATGAAATTTGATAGAAGGCAAACAACATGAAATATACACATGTATGCAATATAAATTTATGGAATAACATACGGACGTATGAGTTTAAAATTTTAGCGTTTTTACTCATACCATTGCTTATGAAGTAAATTCATGCAATTTACTAAGATTTTAGTGGGATTTTGAGAATTCTCCAAATTCTAACATTAAATTTTAACATAACATTAAATGCAGGTATTGATTTGGCATATAAATACTGCGATGAGCATAAAGTACCTTACAAAAGAATTGGGAAGTTAATTGTTGCGGTTGAGCCAATCGAAGTGCCACGTCTAGAAGTAAGGTTTCCTTTCACATTCTTATATTTTTTTAATGTCTGCAAAGTTTTTAAAATGCATACTATATTTCAACAAATAACTAATTAATATATAACTTTTAGGAAAAAATTTTTTTGATAGAAATTTTAATTTAGCATATAATAAGTCTTTTTTCAGAGATCCCTTCATCCATCTACATAAACAAAGAAATGAGTCTAGATATGAAACATATTGAATAGTAAAATAAGATCACCTTAAGTATTTCATTTTCCGTCAAATATTTCATGCAGGAATAAATACTACTGGTAAAGCTAACTATACTTCTGTCTTTCCATTTCTCACTCATAAGGGGAAGGTTATGTCTTTTGTTACTAACACATAACACTATGTTTCTTCCCTAATAAACTCGAAAAACTGAGACCTTTCATACTAATAAATATACTTTTAGAATTTATTTCAACGAGCTGAGAAAAATGGATGCAGATCAATAAAAATGATTGGTGGTAGCGAAATCAAGAATTACGCTCCTTTTTGCAAGGTAGCGCACATTCTTTCAGTCTTTTATCGTGATAAAACGCATAGTTTGTTTGACCTGCTAGACTTTTTTAGAGTCTTACTGTTCTAATTTTAAAGCCAAAGCAGACCCAACCATTTTGAAGCAGTTTTCCTTATTTTCCCTTATATTATATTTCCATACCCTTTCAAGTTGAGTTGCATGGAACGCGTTTCACAGTTTGGCGGATAAATTGATTTGGAGTTTTAATCTGTTATTGAAAATCTCCAGAATCTGCAGTCTTACAACACTAACGGATTCATTTATTCTACATTGCTATCGTCTGAAGATTTTCTATGTTGCTGATTTCATATTATTCTAATTGTCAGAAGCATCTTATCAATTAATAGCTGTTATCAGGGATTTCCATTAAGATGATATACTAACAGATTCATTTATGCTGCCTTGTTAACGCTTGAATGTCTTCTATACTAATGACTTCATAAACTCAGTGACTGTAGTAATACATTTTTTTCAAGTTTGGAAAAATATCAAGCGTAACAAATAAGCAATGTTTAAATTTGCGTTTCACAAAAACGATTTTATCATATGACTTGTTCAGGGTTTGAAGGCACTCTGGTCTCCGTATACCGGTATTATTGATTGGGGATTAGTTACAAAATCATATGCAGAAGATTTCCAAAATCGTGGCGGCGTTGTTTATACGAAATATCCATTAAAAACGTTATTGCTTGTTGGCGAATCGAAAAAAGAGAACATGGTCAATGATTATCCTGTTATGATCGAATCAGAACTCTCTTTGGTAGCTGTTGTTTTTCCATTTATTACAATGGTTAGTATGATATAGAGGAGATAGAATAGTCTACGTGGACACTTGCGAAACCATGATACATTTTCAGCAATTTGAAATGTAAAATACTTTTGGAAGTAGTTAAATCTGTAATGTTGTTGATTCTTTCACAGTCAACATATCCATGTTATATTTCATTGAAATAACTGCTAAATTTAACATTTTTTTGCTTCTGTGCTATGAAATTCCTTTTATTGAGGCCGGAAGTTAAATGAGATCGAGTTTTTATATTTAACTTTATTGTCGGTAGATTTCTGTTCTTACTTATGTCGGTAAATTGCAGCCGAAAATTCGCTGTAAATACTTGATAACATGCTGTGGGCTGCAATCAGATCGTATTGCGAAACTTTCTGGTGGTTTGCCAGACCCGAAAATTGTTCCTTTCCGTGGCGAATATCTTTTACTAACTTCTGAAGAGAAAAAGAAGCTTGTAACGACAAATGTTTATCCTGTAAGTTTTCTCAAGTTGTAATTTCATCGGTAGAATCATGTTTCACAAATGCGAATGGCATTGATTATTTTTTTGGTTAGTTTGGCGTGACAGGTTTTGTTTGTATCGCTCACTATTGGATTCATAATTACTATGTGATTTCCTGATTTCTCTCAACAATTAACTAAAAATTTTTTATAATAACCATTAAAACTTTCAAGTGGTTAGAAATTTTCAGGTGCCTGATCCACGCCTTCCGTTTCTTGGTGTACATTTCACGCCACGTATGAATGGAGGTCTCATATTTAAATTATCTGTATTGTTCTATTCATAAATATATCGTTTTAAATTTGGACGTTTTGTCGTCGCTTTTGCTTTTTAAATATTCAAGAATGTCATTCATTCCTTATTATGTATATTATATTTTTATTTTGTATTTTCAGAATCTACTCGTTTATTTTTTTCAATATTTAAAGATTGTTTGGGCATTTAGCTTCAGATGTGTGTGATATTAGCCCCACCTTAAGAAGCATGCTTTCAACCGTTCAATTGCGTCTCTTATTCACGTGTGATTAGCAGTTGCAAAAGATTATATTTTTTTCAGATGTTTGGCTGGGACCGAATGCAGTTCTAGCGTACAAAAGAGAGGGATACAAATATTCTCAAATTTCAGTGCCTGATTTGTATGATGCTTTAACTTACAGGTGATTGCATTGGCATTTCTTTCCACATAGATTCTATGTTTATGAAATATTAATATAATGCAGACAGCTTGAAATTCTCTTGCAGAGGTACGAGAAAACTCATTCTCAAATTTTTTGGTTACGGAATGAAAGAATTGTATCGCGGAATTTGGATCAGAGCACAGGTGAAACAGTTACAGAGATTCATGCCTAACTTGAAAATATCGGACATCACACGGTAGATTTCTTTTTCGTTATCCATGTTATAAATCTAACATATTTTATGAGCACCATTACCTGGATAATGGTAGTTACTTTGATCTAATACTCCTACATATATATGTCAATCAACTAATTTCAGTCATTTTTTGTGAAGTCAGTTTCTGCTCTTATGTTTGTGGGAACAGCCCTCTCATCGCAATATTTTGTGGAACTACTCCTGATAATATATTCATATTGCATTGTTTTTAATCAAACATTTGACCAGATTCATTGTGTTTAGCTATGTTTTATAGTGGTCCGGCAGGAGTTCGAGCTCAAGCCGTTGACTTAAATGGGAATTTGGTTGATGACTTTATTTTCGATTGTGGTGAGGGAGAATTGAACCAATACGTATTGCATGTGCGTAATGCACCTAGTCCAGGTGCTACAAGCAGTTTAGCTATTGCGGAAATGATTTGTGAAAAGGCATCTACTACGTTTGGTCTAAAACATTAGACTTCAAAACTTTCATCTGCGCTTTAAGATTGATGTGAGATTTTTTCATTATATTTCTCAAAGTGAGTTTTTTTCATCAAATTTCTTATATATTCTGCTGCTGTGCAAACATTGTTCATTACTGCAAATGATTTGCGGTCAAAAATGTGACCGAAGATTTGTTTGTAATTTTCAGAGATTTGTTGGTATATTTTAAAAGCAGTTCATCAATGCAAGCATGCTGGAGTTCAAAGAATTTTGATTCTTTCTTGCGTCATCAGTGTTGTTGCAAAAGATTAATAGTATAATGTAAAGAGATTAGATGAAGCAATGTGATTAGTGATATATTATAAATATGAATACAAAGGATTATTTTCTGCTAGCATTTTAATTTTTGAAGCTTCATTTGCGCAGACATTTAAATGTTCTAACTCGTATTATTTAGGCGTTTCAGTTCTTGAAATTTGTTTATTCCGGTCTTATGAGTATTTAAATTTTTTAGGCTACTTGAAATTTAAGTAATGTGAATTACCGAAATAATTTTATCTAGTCCTGTTAATACTGCTAATTTTCCATACTAATTTATTGTCATTTATCTGTTCGCTAGGTTGCTACTGTCCATCTGTGTAAATAGCTTATTGTCGTTTACTCATGTAATAATTTGTCTAGTATTTCCCTCACGTTTGATTGCTCGTATAGTTTTTTTGATTCAATTTTCAATTTCCAAATATTTTTGCTGTCTCATCATTCAAATGATTATTGTTATTATTATTTTTTTATCTTACCGCGGAAGTTATACTATGTGAGATTTTTGATAAAACAAGTGCAAATGTAAAATGTGCAATAAAATTGATTTCACGTTTCTGAAGTTCTGAATAGATTAAGAGTAAGGATATTCGTTTAAGTGTTAAGTCGTGAAAACTTGCAGTCCACTGATTAAGTGTTACTCGATTTATTTCAAGTTTTTAATTTGCCTCGAATCATGGAATAACGCCGAAATATACGACGCAGTCCTTTCCGGTATGACGAAATGTTTAAGACACCACAAAAAATAACCACAGTTATAGTTTGTTTTCATGTAATTTGGAAAAAGATGGGAGAGACATTTTATGAACTATTTTGTAGTGTTTGAAAGGTTTAAAGTAATCGAGGAATTAAATGCTGAGATTGAATCCTGAAATACATCTAATATAGCCTGACCTCCTTAATATATGCTTGTGGTGTGAGTAACATTCCGTTTTAATGGTTATATTCTCTAAGGATGTTATTACAATATTTTCAGTAGTAGCAAAAGTTATATGCTCTGTAACAGTCGACTTTAGATTCTCGAATTTTGTTGGTTGATTAGTTTATTCTAAAATTAAGCTTTTTGTCATGAAATGCAATGTGACTAACTACAATGAAATTGGAATAAATTTTTAAAAAAATTCGAATGTATTAGGATGCTAAATTTTTCACTTACTCGTGAAGATTGGAGCTTAGATTTTTTTCTACTGAAGTTTAAGTAATGATTTTAAACATCATTTTAATAAATCATTTGTTTCATTGCTAGCTCAGTGTTCTTTTTTTCCTTACAAAAGAACATAACAATAATTTTAAGATCAAATTTCCTGTACTATTTGAAAATTTTCGAGGGTGAAAATATTTTGAACAGTAAAATAATTACGAATCAAATCGACAACTAATGATGAAACGAAGCAGTAAAGATGAAAGAAAAGCGTATAAATACTAAATAATACTTTGAATCATCCGGTAAGTTGTGGAAATGAAAATTAATTCTGTCTATGATATGACAATATATATACCATTTAATATCAGCAGAGGTTACCATTACGTGTTCCACAATAAATTACGAGCTGTTAACTTCCGATTCATCCGTTAGCTACTGACGTTGGTTCTATACTTTCTTGAAAGTAAGCAAATATGGTTTCACTGCTTTGACTGCTGACACTCATTTCTTATAATTCATAACTATTTTAACTCTTAATAGCTAAGGAAAGTAAAAAATATGCGGAAGAAAATTCCATTAAATCCGTGACAATCCTCCAAATTTTAATTTCAAAATCTGGTTAGTTTTTAACTTTAATAAAATTGATAAATATTTCAAGAGCACTAACTATACAGATACTGATAACTGATAATAGTTGCTAAGAATTGGATTAATATCGCATGGTGCTGTCCACTTGGTCATTATGGTGACTTTATTGTCCGTTTTGTGGTTGATTCTTCTTAGTACAGTTCCTGGCATCATCTTTAATTTTTTGTATCTTTGTCAAGAATCTATGGATAAGATTACAACTTATAACGCAAGAAAGTACAGACTTGAAAAGATCGATTACCATTCCGTCAATATAAGTTGCTGAGTTCATTACAAGCTCATTTTTTACAACTATTTACTAATTATTCTATAACTGTTCGCTATTACTATTATTTTGATTAACAAAGTAAGTAAATGAGACAGTAATCAGTGGGCTTATTACCAAACATATATATATTTCAAATGATGAAAATGCAAAAATTTTATTAACTAAAGTTTATAAACTGAAAATATCAAAGAATAATCTAAATTTTATTTGCCTATGATCGATGTAGGCCAGCCGAAAAGAATGAATTTCAGCAATTGTCTTCACCTAGTTTTGTAAAAATTTAAGGACAACAACTTCAAAATTCAAATGAATTTAAAGTGGACTGAAGATGGTTTTTTCTAAAGACGAAGGAATTAATTGCTAGCTTAGTTCAGCTGTACATATATTATGTCTCCAGAGGAGGATGCAACATTTGCAGATCCTTTCCATGATGATGATAAAATTGATTAAGTTCTATCTCTAATTCATAACATTTAGTAACTAAGTGCTAAGTAACACGTCACATGTTTCAAAGTTCATCAAATCAATCACGTCTTATATGTTTAACAAGATACCACGCAGCAAATAAACACGAAAAAAAGCCTTATTCTAATTACAATATTAATAAATAATATCTCAATAATCACCTCAATATTTGAGGCAAAATGATAATAACGAAATGAAAAAAGTGACAGAATTTTAGGGAAAAATGGTGAAACATATTAATACGAAACAAAATATTTTTGAACTACTCTTTCTTTTTCTCATTTAATGGCCAAGTATTGGTCTATCACAACTGAACACTATGAAAAATGTAAACACGAGTGAACTGGTTACATTGCTATTTATGCCACTAACAATTTCAATGATTTGTTGACTGTCAAAAGGGTCGAGACAAAAATTTCTAACTGTAATCGAAGTAAAAATGAAAGGAAAAGACTTCTAGCTGTTGTTCTCTATACTTTTCGCTTTCTCATTTCGTTATGTATGCATCACAAATATGTTTTCACAGGCGTATAGAGTAACATTTCTTAGAATATCATTTTTTTATCTTTGCTTTCTAATTTAAAAACTTAAACGGAACTAGTTCTGATTGATATTTCCAGATTGTAGCATTATGTTTTCTGAAATAATTTTGTTTTCTATCATTGCTAATTTTATTTCTTTTTTATTTTTTGTTACAATTACAACATGTCTTATTCAAGTTAGTCTCATATTCTTCTTTTTTCTCATATTCTTGTCTTATCTTGTATGTTGTTTTATTGTAGGAAATACTATCCTGAAAAAGTTGAGCAATCATTTTCTTTTTCTTTCTAGTTTAAATTATCCAGTTAAGCTAACTGGTGCTTTTATATTTTACTCCGTATTGAAAAAAAAGCCACTTATCATTTCTCGTAATATCTAACATAAGTATTTTTTTCGTATATTTTGTTCAAAAAACTTAATAACACTACCTCAATAAAATTACTTGAGTGAATTTGTCTCAAAACCTTCATTTTCAGCATTCCTGTTAGTGTGATTTCAGCTTACAATGAAAGTTTTTATTTTTTATACTTTTTTTATTTGATTTTAATTTCAGTAGCTACTGTAATTAGAGGTAACTTTTAATTTTTTTATTCGCAGTAAATTACGATTTTAAGACAAAGTCATTAAGAAGTAGCATATTCTAAGTTTATTTGAACAATATAGAAGTAAGATATTCGAAGCTTTTTTAGCACAACGATATTGAAATACTAAATTTATTTCTTTCAAGCTATCTTCATATTCAGCCCGACTCTTTGCGCTAATCTTTCTTGGGCTCATTATGCACTAGTTTTTCCTAAGTTAGGATTGAAATTATTTGCATTAAAAGTAGTTTTGAGTGATGAAATGTATCTACTCTCTTATCAAGATACGATCAACAAAAGCTCAAGGTCCAATTTTAAGGTCAATAACCCACAAAGACACACAAACAGTAAACTTTTTAGTGTTCTGATTAGCTTCGAATTTTTTTCTTCATCACATCATTGAAAGTTATTTTCAGTTCTACTTTATACGTTCACAATTTTACTTAAAATTTTAATAATTTTTTTCATGACTATTTCATTATTCAAGTTAATTATCCAATTCATAGCATCTATAATAATGGAAGGCCTGAGATAGGAAAAGTGAGATGGAAAAGAAACAAAACATATGAAAGCTTCAAAAACAAAAGGAGGACAGTAACTTCTTATTAATCATGTTGCTGATTGTGATCTGTTCATTACAATATAACAAGGGAATAAGAGAGCAAAAGAAAATCAATTTCTTTTTTCCATACTTTTATCGTTTTCTGTGTGAGTGGATCACATTTGATTTTATTGAAACGAACATTTATAATGAAGGATTCTTAATTATAACTAAGGCTGACTTTTTCACTTCAATATCTTCTTTTCATTTTTCATTACAAACCTGTTTATCAGCATATTATTACCAAGTTTCTATCGAGGACATCGCATGTATTTTGTAAATTATTGTTCGTCAATTTTCTCATGTTCTAGTCATTGCCATTGCAGGAGAACGAATTTGTGACTGTCATGTCGTCATCATACAGAGATTCGTCTACCGAAACATATACAGTATCTGGTAGTTCGTCTACATGCGGTAAGATCAAATTTATTTTTTTCGTTTCACTTATATAGTTGGTCTCTAATAATAGAAATGAACTTCTTCTTGAAACATTTACACTAATATCCAGGTAGTATGTAAACTTACCTGCACATATAAAATAATCATGAGTATTTTCCTAACTGTTAACAAATGTTTGAAAAGAAGATGAAGAAGAAATGGATCAAACATCTTCGGAAGAGCCTATACGACCAATAATACATAAAAGGCGATTAACATTCACATCGGCAAAAGCTGTTAATGGCAATGAATTCAGCAGTACTAATTTATTGGATAAAACTGTAATTTTATCTGATTTTTCATTAGCTGACAAACGGATATTGATGAAAATAAATTTGAAAAGATATTTTATAACTCCATACAAAAAGTGCGATAATTTAAAGTAATCTTAAACGGACGAACATTTGAAATAAAGTTAACTTAAAGGTCGAAAAGGAATAATAAGATACTGAGAATTTAATAATGAAGTTGATAGACTGCAGAAGTCACTTATTTGGAGTTGGAACTTTTCGAGCTTAGAAAATACAGCTTTCAACAGTATTTTCCCAACTAATGATTGAATTTATCATATGGCATGATGCTGTGAATTTACTATTCGGACAAGTGAGATGAGTCTTCTCTTTTTTAGTAAAAAAAAAAAGTAAAAACAACCATTCGCTCTTTAAAATCATTTCAGATTTTTTCTGAATTTTTTTCCTTTATTTTTATTTATCCTTTCAACTTTCTTTTGTAGAAAATGACCACTCCAGAAATGGCAACTGAAACCGAGCCAAATGTACTAGAGATTCCTACAAACAAAACAATTGAATTGGATAAGACGGCTGATATATCAAATGAGAACCAGAACTCTCCTGGATTAGACAGTCAAAGTGAATTCAATATAGTTTCGAAAGATTTCAATGAAGAAGTATTGAAGGCAGTAATTCGCGACGAACCTGGAACCATTGATGTCTCATCCGATATTCCTGCTCCCAAAATTAATTTTGGATCTCTTCTTTGTGAATTTCCCACTGAACAAGCATTATTGGAAGCTTTTCCTAACAAAATTTCATCGAAAGCTTTAAGTGAAACTAATCCTGACTCAGCTTCTTGTACGATCATATCAAATGATACTTTAACTCATCCTTTACCTGCTGAACCAATTGACAATGTTTTGCAGAATATTGAATCAAAATCTGCAACTGCAACGCCGGTAGTAACAACACAAGCATCCACTGCTATAAGTACTACAAAAATCGCAGCATTGCAGGGAAAAGTTAAAGATGTTTTCCTCTTTCCTGTACAGAATAATGAAGCAAAAGCTTCAGCTTCAGAAGATAATACACAAAAATTAACTACAAACATCACTACCTCTTCTGTAAATACTGCATCCGAATGCACGACTGAAACCCAACATCTGCAACAAGTCCAGCTACAGCAATTCACTCCAGAATCATCCAAAGTGCAAGCATCATCACATGTTCCAACTCAAACATCATGCGAAACTTCAGAATCTGATACAGCGCAAGCACATAAAATAGTACCCGAATTACTAAGTAACCTGACACCTCTTCCAAACAAAAATTCTACAATACCTAACTTTTTCGATCAGGTGGGCTCTTTCTAAATTTACTCAAACTGTGATGTCAATCTAAATGAAATTGGGAAATAGCAGAATATATAAATGCGTAGTGTTTCCTAAGCGCCAGTTGAAGAGGTTCGTTTTGAATTTATGTATATCAATGATTGAAAGAAAGCTTTGAAATAATACAATTATAGCTACAATTATAGCAATGATTGGAGATTGAAAAAATTTGAGATTGATGAAAAAGTTCAGATATTGATAAATACATTAAAACATAGAGAATTATGATAGAGCTGGTCTAATCCATAAATTACATATGCAATTTCTCTTTTCCTTCATTCAAAGTAAGTTGTGAAATGCGTAGATACTTGTTCACCGGTTGCTTTTTCTCCTTTTCAGCTAAGATCCCATCAATAATTAGATTGAAAAAAAGTCTTTTATTTCTAGAATTTTTTGTTAAGAGCAATGTGACATTTCTAGTCCATTTATTTTACAATTTTGTCACTCACACCATCTTACTATGACAGTTACCATTACTTTCTGGCTATTTAGCTACTACAGCGAAGAGAGGTTTTGATATGCTCCATTGGCTTACGGTGAGGGAATTTGAGGAGGGGTGAAGGATCGGATGTAATAGTAATGAATCGGGCGGGGATTAATTACTACTGGTAGTAGTTATGATACATCGATTAACATTTCATGTTTGGTATTATGGTTTTAATTATAACTACTAGCACATCACAACTACCATTGTTTTTGCTGTAATGCGATAATAGTACTAATAATTGTAATTTTTTTCTTAGCTGTGCTAAAGATTAATTCAGGTTTATCTAGTTCTTCTCAAACTGCAGTTTACAATTTGCACAGAACTTCTGTAGATATTTGTTAGTTCAAACTTTAATAAATTTCAAATACACTATTTGTGTGATGGATACCTTGAACAGAAAAGATGTAAATAATCTCAGTAGAAGTATTGTTTTGGAATTGTCTGAAAATTTAAGGTGGGAAAGTGAATTATTTCTAATTGGCAAGAAAGAATTATCTCTAAAATAGTGTCAAGTCTATTATTTATGCCTGTTTTTTAGGTAGTTCTCGTTGGCACAGCATCGGGAACACCAGAGGTTCAAAAAACTGTGCAATTTGGTGTTATGGAAAGGAACAACAGTAGAAGTAAGTTTTTTTAATCTTGCGCTTTGTTTTTTTTGAACCCATTTATTGCTGAATATTTAGGTAGACTGGCTAAAAAATAGATAGCAATGCAGAATTATTCCCGAGGTGTATGAGCAGTTGTGTGGGCGACTAGATATCGAAACTTCTTACTGAAATATGAAGGACTGTCACTAATATTTAATTTTGCTGTTGCCAGTATAACTGTCTAATAGCTAAGATAAATCTGATTTTGAAGCAGGAAAGAGGAATCCTTCAAATAACAAAAATTCGTAAAAATGTGACATGAAGATAAAAAATTCATGAAGATTGTTTTCCAAACATGCGGTTATTGTAATATACATGTAATGGTTGTTGTGTGGTACATATTAGGTGTTCCTTTCGTGAGGGTCAGAAAAAAAGGGATAAATATTTTAGTCGTAAAAAAAATCATCTAAAAACTAATTGTTAAGCTATAAAAGAGCGCTATAAAAACTTCTAATTTGCTGTCAGTCTAAAAACGTGACATAAGTTGTAAAGTTGTAAAATCCATTCTGCTACCAGTTGCCGTAAAAAGGAAATTTTCTACTTGCTGAAAAAGTCATCATTGCCAAAAAAGAACCAGTAATTCTAAAAAAGAAACCTGTTCGTGCAATTAAGGTAATTCTGAAGGACTAGATTTGGATTATATGTAGTGATGGGGATAACCTAATAGTAATGATGAAAGTTTAGGAAACGGTTTGAAATTGTTTTTTCTATGCTCAACTATGTCATCATTATTCACAAAACTTCCTCCTAACCCTCTCCCTTTCTTTTTTCTTTTCGTGGTAGATTATTTGGATATTTTTAATTTTCCATCTTTTGTTAGTGCCTGATATTTCAACTGTTATTAGAGAAAATTAAGAAATTAATGGTTTGTTCAAACTTTATCTAAATTATATTTACTTTATGATCAATATCTATTGATTATATGCCATCTTTTCACATTGTAGCGTTTTTTCGATATATAATCATTGATATGGCATTAATATATTGTGCTACGATACCTTTCCGATATTCCATACTATGGCTCCTTTGTACTGTATATAGCTGACATTAATCAATTAAAGTACGGCAGATAAGAAAGAAGTAGAGAATAGTTCAGTTCTGTTTTTATCTATGTATGTGCTCCATATATATATATATATATATATATAGATGTAGGTTATAGGTACATCTGCACATATTAACTATATTGTTGTTGTGTATTTAAGTATTGCATTGCCGTTTGTGTGTAAGTTTGGTCTGAGGATTTACTGGAGGACTAAAAATGCTGTCAATGACTGGGTCAGCGGTAGTTTCTGTTATGAAATTGTTTGGCAAGAAGAAAAAAGAATGTAAGTTGGAGTTAATACTACATGAGTTGTTCATATTCTCCATTTCTTTTAAAATTTCATTTTTTATCCTATCAGTCTCTTAAAGACCGTAACTTTTCCTGCCTTAAATTATCAGGTCTCCTTAAAATCCAAATTTTCTTCTCATGTGATTGATAAGTATGATACTGATGAAATTTTGATATTTTACAGAATAATAATGAACAAAGAGAAACAGTTTTCTAATGTGCCTGTCAAATTGATTTAAAAGTTTCTCGAGATGAAACTTGAAATGCTTAATAATTGGTGAGGAAAGGTGAAAAAAATGATTGTCGATATAGCAGATATTTCCATTTATATCCAGTTGAGAGTGAGCTTCCAGAGATTCGGAATAACCAGCTTATTTTGATTAGGAATTATGATCACTAGTTATGTTATCTGTCACTTATTCGCTGGATAGACAAAACATTTTTGGTCTTGCTTTAATAGTTGACAGATTTATTATCTTTCCTCTCCTATAGTAAATAATCGCATGACTTTTGGGAATCTATGTTGTTAGAAATTCGAAAGAAATTAACAAAAAGCTAACTGATTTAAATTTTCTGGTGAAAAGAAATTCAAAATTTTCCTTGTTAGCAAGAATAAATTCATATTAAAAAAATTTTTCAGATGAAATAGTTTCAAAGGAACAGCAGTATCCCAGCGAAACGGTTGGAGTGAAGCCGACGACCCTAATTGAAGCGGAGAAACTGGAAGGCATGGAGGTATCATCTAATGCAGTTCCCGAAGGAAGGCAAAATCCTGCCGAGGGACCAATAACGCAATTTGAAACGCCTCGTAGGCCAGCATCGAGGTAGGTCCAGGTTTTTGTAAGAAATCTTAGGAAAATCAATGAGGTTTTTTATCTTTAAGATGTGTAAGAGGACAGTAAAAATGGAAATGAAATTTTGTGAAAATGATTTGTGTAGTTCAGATTTCGCCGGAAGATACGCCCAAGAAAATGTTTGTTAATATTTGTCTGTACGAAAGCATGAATGTATTTCTTGCATTTATATGTATGAAAGCATTTGGTCTTAATTCAGCGCTTGGATTCGAACTTGAACTAGAATGACCATATAACAAAGCCCGTTTGCCACTGCTGTCAACGTTAGTCTCATATGCGTTTTGAAGCGGAGTTCAGGAATCTTACCAATGAGACTTTTACCGATAATGCAAAAAAACATAAAATATTTTGCAGACAAAGGACGGAAATTAAGTAATTTTTATAACCGCTGAGACGGAAGGAGAAATTGCTTAAGATTATGCTTAAGGTCATTTTTTAATAAAGTAAGTAACTCTAAATATTCTGTTGTAAGGATCAATAATGTTAGAGACTAATCGTATACTTTTGCTATCGAGAATGAAATCGGATTAACTTCTGAACTGCGTATGTTTTGAATGTAGTACAGATGATGTTGGGAGATTCGAATTCTTTTATTTAGATCCAAATATTCAACTATGTCGTATTAAATTGTATTCTCATTGAGTACTTTTTGCTAAAAACTTTTCGCGCTCGTCATTCTCTTTCTATCATTTCTTTATCTTTGTGTTCCCTACTTTTTATATTCCAAATTTGTGCTATGTATCTGCAGTCCAGTATCGGTTACTCTGCCCTCTATTATCTTAAAACTCTAACCACAGGCTATTTTCTCTTATTTTTCTCAAGAGTATTTTAACAGTTGCTAAAAAAAACACTTTCCAAAAAGCTTAGTAAATAGTTTTGAATAGAGTTCTGCTTTCACCATTAAATGAATTAGATGGAATACACGTGTGGGTCCAGAAATCTTAAATAGCAATTACTGATTTCGTTACGAATTACCAGAACTCGCATGTATTTATCAGACATTAATATCGATTGTGACGTAATAAACTTAGTAAATAGTAATTACGGTGATATTTTTCAGCTGAGAACGATGTTCATTAGAGTATAATGTCGGGAACATCTGTTGTGCCATCAAATTAACCAGTGTTTATTGATAGCATCAATCTTTCTCTTCATCCATTCATTCCTTTCTTTCTCGACATGTTTGTTTGGTGTTTATTAACGCCTTTTTTAGTATTCCTATATTTTAACGTTGGGAAAGGAGAGAAAAGTAGAAAGTTAATATAATGGTTGAGAAAATGAGAATAATAGAGAATGAATATAATGATAAAAAATTAAGTATATATATATATATATATATATATATATATATTTTTTTTTTTCTCACAAATAATTTTTTGAATCTAATCAGCCATCATTTTGAAAGTACTACATTTAATTATGTTATACTCAATCTTCATCAATACTGTGAAGTGCAGAGTTGTTCTCCATAACTTGTTATTCAGAGTTTGCGAGTTAGCATAACCTCCGTGACTACTAAGCTACCTAAGGATATAGTGTTCTGATTAATATAACCATTCTCGAAATGAGCAGTTACACTAATGTGCAATCTAACATTTCAAAATGTCAAGTTAGTTTTGACTTTCTAGCTTTTATGCAAGTATTATAATGTATTTACATATATAATTTAAGTATTATGGTAATTCTTTTTCATAATTGTGTGATTAGAAATATTGATTAATTTAGTCGACCATTCATTCACTAAATATAAAATTTTTCATTCACTTAAAAAAAAAATAAGTTCATTTCTTTAATTCGAACTGTGATAGTTTTTTTCCACAAAATTTAAGTATTATATCATTAAGAAATAACCAGTTTAAAAATTAGTACAGGAAGTGATATCTTTAACTAATATTTGGTAAGTTTGTTAAATATCCTATGTTACCGTAGTATGTCACATAAATCATGTTCTGGATACAGCATTTGATAGAATGTTTTGAAATAATTGCATCATTGTTGAGTTCATTATCCTTTCTCCACCCAGCGGTCGCTGCATGGTTGACGGGAATTGACATTCACTTTCTCAAACTGTCCTCATTTCAGATTTCTCAAGCCCTGTGACATTATTGTCAAAGGCATACGCATCATAATGTTTAAAATTTTCGGATTTGAAGTTTTATGAATTGATTCATTGTTAAAATTTTCTTTCTTCTGCAAAGTAGTTCAAAATTGAGCTTTTATATAATTCATTATATCTTACTGCCCAGAGTAACTGATCCAGTGGTTTTTTTATTATTTCTGATTCTGTTTTTCAGGCGATTTTGCTGTTAGCTTTTATTTCGTGTTTATTGGTATTTGTTTTATACAGAATTATTAAAGTTTAATCATTCAGGAGGCTGGATTCTTTTTAAGTTTTTTGTTAGTGATTTTAGTCATCAAAGTGTTTAGTCTAGATTTTTTTAAGCTTGTTTTTTCTTTGTTTTGAATTTGTGAGTCAATTTTTATTTAATTTTTGGGCCAGCTTTAATTTTTTGTTTTTTACTACTAATTTTTCTTGGCTGAGGTCCATACTTTTATTTTAGCTATTGAGATTTTATAGTTTTTTTTTCTCATTTTTGAAGAAGATCATTCTTGAGAATGGTTTTCTAGATTGGTTATGTTTTTTTCTCATTGAGATTTTTATTAAGTAGTATTGCTTTGTATTAGTATTATTTTTTTTAATTGGTCATTTTTTGATATTTACTATTTTAGATTTAGAGGTTTTCTTATTCATTTCTTTCTTTATTATTTGTTATTCCTATTGAAGTATTTTTGGTTTTTTTATAAAGTTATATTTTATTTTTTAACTTTAGTTTGTATATTTTTGTTAAATATGATGTAATTTTATTATAGTAGTTTAAGTTTAGGTTTTTGTTTTAATATAATTTTTTTTTTTTGACTTTTTAGTTTTTGGTGTTTAGTTTTCCAAACAAAAGGATTTAAGTTAATAATTTATTTGCAAAATTATGTATTTTCTGTTCTTAGTAATTCTTATATTGTTTTTTTTTTAATTTTTTATTTTTTGGTAATTCTTTCAAATTCAATTTAAAATGCAGGGATAGTCGTCTAATTGAGTTAATTTTGCAGGTTTTAGTTGTAATTTTTTAGTTATTATGGCTGATCAAGGGTTTTGGTTCATCTAGTACAAGGGCGTATATTTCGGCAGTCTGAGTTAAGTTTCAAGATTATTGGTCATCAATAATATTAAAGTTATGAATATGGTGAATATGGGATATGAATATGGGAAGAGTAGGTTGAGTTTTGATTCGTTTATAAAGCCCATAGATGATTTAAAAATTAATGATTTTTGATTGTTTGATGTTGATAATTGTTGTGTACTATGTATTGATGTGAATGCTGGTCTTTATTGTACTTCTAGTGATGTTCATTCACTGTTTCGTTGTTTCAAAATGTTTTGTCAAAAAGTTCTTTCAAATAGTTTACTAACTAAAATTATTTTTAATTTTTTTTTGTTATGGATTATTCTATGGCCAGTGCTATGGTAATTACACTTTTCTCGTTACATTTTTAAATTTTTTCCATTTTAATTTACTGGGAAATTTGTTTTTCTCTTTTTCCTTTTAACATTTTGAGGTCATAATTTTTGTATACAATGACTTTTGTGTCTGAACTCAGAATTTCTACTGCAGCATAGATTCAAGAACAATTACACGTCCATCAAAAACACGAGTCCAACAATTACCGGATACAAGTCGCGTCACGCAGTTCTCGAAAACTGAATCAGAATCTAGGACTGCAGATATGCCTTCTGCTAATCAGGGTAAGGTCTTTTCCTTTTCATTTTCGTTCGACCTTTTGAGAAATCATTTTAATATTTCTTCAGATTAAATGCATGATTTACAACCGCACTATAGTAAACATCGATGCATCATTCTGAAAACCGGAATAACTCAAATGACTTTAGAAAATTTTTCAAAAAAAGTCTTTTGAACTCTTACTTAACTTAATTCATATTATCACTTTCTAACATTTTTTTTTCGCTTCTTTGTAGCCATAGCTAATGCTTTAACTTAATACCATGATCGTATGATAAGATAAATGTTGACATTAGCCATGCTAATATTCAACTGTAAAACGTTTTTTTTTTTTTACTGAAAAATCTGATTCCATTTAAATGTTCTATGAAAATCTTAATTTAACCATAGTAGTTTTGTCAAAATATCAACTTTCAGAATTTCTTTTACATTAATGTTTTTAATATTTTTTGTAAAAGTTTTTGTTATTTTCATATTAACTTTCACAAATAAATGGTTTCACAACTTTTGTAGGGCAGTCGCTTCCTTCAGCCGTTGTGACCATTACAGCCAGTCATGCTATATCACAACCTCCTCTGATATTGGAGCAGCAGTCGACAGTTGCACCACAACCACAAATAATTCCAGCTCTACCGTCAAGGTCAGCGCATCAACAGACTACGGCATCAAAGTCTGTTCCGCTACAGGAATATGTACCGAAAATCATTCCTCAGTTAGAGCAGTTTACAGCCGCAGCAGCTCCAGTAAGGGGTATAATACCACCAAATATTACTCCGTGTGTTCCAGTTAATGCAAATTCTGTTGTCATTTCTAGCGCTGTAGCTGCTATACAAGGTTCTCCGCATCATCCGGAAAATTCCCAAAGGTAAATTTCTATTATGAAGGTAAACATCTTTTTTCTGAATTACTAAGAAATAAAAGTTTCCTCAATTTTTTGCTTTTTTAGAGAAGAACGAAAATCGTCACAGCGTGTACGGCAGCGAACCGTCACAGTCCAGAGCCAAATAAGTCTCGATATAACAGCTGCATATAATGAAGTGAAACAAGTAATTATATTTTTTTGAAGCATATATTTCAGTTTTTCCAGAGGAAAAGTATTTTACCAATATTATATCATTCCTTAAGCAAAAACAGCATTCGATATTCCTTTTGTTTTTGATCCGTTTCTGTCGCATATTTTTGCAGATGTTCAGATGAAAATAAGTATGTTCTCTTTATTGAACTTATAGTTCTTCTTTATTGAAATTCCTTTATTGAAAACGTTAATAAGAATCATAAAGTGATTTTAGAAGAAAATGTTAGATCACTTGAACTAAATTAAGTTTGTAGTATGATTTAAATGAAGTCGAATCAGAACTGATTGTAGATGCACTCAGACGATCCTGCTACGGAACTTATGCGACGTGTGCAAGCAATTGTCGCTACAAGAGAGAAAGAATGGACTGCTAAAAACGAAAAGGTTAAAGAATTTTATGAAGAACTTTTAACTGTGTGCTTGGAAGTATTCACTAGTGGGTAGGACATCTTACAAAAGGATCACTTTGTATAAAGGTCAAAGGTAGACCGGTACTGTTAAGAGTGTAGCTGTTCAAATATAATATATCCGTTTCAGATTTATTTATTGTGTTCTAGTACGATCTATGGATATTAATAGCATAATGAATGTCGTTAATTATTAATTAGACTTCCCAGCCATTAACTCTTAATCGATTGAATTGTCTGTTAGTTGTTTGTTGCTAAGAAGTATGTGTTATCCATGTAAGTAAATGAGCACTAAATTTTCTATTTTTTAATTACGAATGGATAACTATCATTATAATTTAACAAATATTTGTGATGCGTTATCGATTTGTAAATAAATATGCATTAAATCGTCCTTTGTTTAATTATGAATGCATAATTGTCATAAAAAACAACTGAACAAAATCTCACATTATTTTAAACATTTTCTACTTGGATTTAATGAATTGTATTTCAGTTGACTCAACTACTTGCACATGAGCAAAGGCGTAATGAACCACTAGAACAGAAAGCTGCTGAACGATTATTGGCTATGGCTGAATATGAAAAATTGGTGCAAGAATTTGTGGAAGAACTGAAGAAGAAGAATTCTGATGGTGAGAACTTTTGATTTTTTTTCTGGTGATTAGATGGGGTCAAAAAGAGGTAAATTGGTGTGTATTTTTACTCTACTTTAACTCTTCATAAAATAAGTTGATAGTATCATCAAGATATAGAAAATTCGTTGTATTCAATTTTCTTGGTAATGTTCTTTCCATTGAACTTTTGATATGAGCTACACATCATCTCCACGATTGCAGTAGTTAGTGCTTGCGCAACATAAACAGTTTTCTGATTCTTTGTGTTTGACATTGTTTGTTCAAATATGTATACCACTGATTTGCAGTTCGTAATAATTTATATTGCTAATAACCGTGCAGCTTTTTTTAGTTTTCTTAAAAGAAACATTGACCTTTCCAAGAAATTATCGGTTCAACTTTATTGCACTATCAGAAAATGGTTCAGATGCTCAGTTGTTGAAATTGTACAGAAAAATTGCTTAGGTGAGTCGAAGTCGGTGGGTAGACCAGGACCAGAAAGAAATTTATCACCAGATGATGTTACTCAGCTGCTTAAAGAACGAGACCAGTTAGCGGAGGAAGTGAATTCTTTGGAAACAAGTTACAGTGAACTTTTCAGACGTTATGAAAAATTGCGACAAACAAGCGTTGAAATTAAACGAGTACGTTTTCTTTTTATCTTCTGATTGTGATGATTTGATGTGATGATTTTGGTATGTTTTGCGTATGTCTTTCATGTGATGATTTTGATATGTTTTGCGAACTTTTCTGTGTGATTGACAAAGTACTCCGTTCCGTACTTTTACGAATACCGAACCTTTCATTTTCTGAACATCGTATTTATGTATGTGTGTGTGACTATATGGTATACTGAAGCAGCTAAATTTAGATTCTAATTAATCAGAAAAATTCATTTAATCTTACTGTTGACATTTGGTTGTGTAAATTTAACTTGTTTATTTATTATTTGTTATTGTCAGTTACTTTCACTTTGAATCGTAATAACTTACACCGGCTCATTGAAAAATATTTACACTGAATTGGTTTTTAGAAACTAGATACCTTTATTTTAGAATGAAGACAGTGTCAAAAGCGCATCTGAGGAAATGGCAAGGAGATATTCACTTCTTGCTGAGAAATTTGAAATGCTTCGACGAAATGCCGAGGAACAACTTGATCTGTAAGCATTAATTAACCATACAAAAATATATATACATATATATGTGCTTCCATTTTTTTTTTTGTTTTTTTTCAAAAATATATATGTTAATTCCGGTTACTAATGTTTTAGGTGCTAGTAACGTACTTGATCAAACTTAGATAACTGAAACATTTTGAAAAGGTAGTTATTTTAACCTGTCACGATGACATTCTGAGCAGGGTTGGATTGAAATGATTTTTTAAGCGATTAATGTCTTTCTCAAATCTTTTTTAAGACTCATATACGAGATTGTCTATGTCCTCGGCATATAATTGTTCCATCAGCGACAAACTTACTACATGAATATCGAAGTTTTTATAGTAAATTAAGTACTTTGCCATGAGTTACCACTTTACGAGCACATGAATAGTTACCAAATGCTTTGCTATTTCTGATAGAACATTTGCAAGATTTTTCCGTGGTCTTTTATTTTTTGAAAGGAAAGTATTTGTGGCTTTATGCTGCATTTTATTTTGTGATCATGGTAAATGAAAATTTGATATATCTCTATACTAAGATTTGTTGCTATTAGATAATTTTAAAGGGCAAATAACGAAATAGAGAGACTGATAAAGCAGCATGAAGCAGATACACTTGGTTTGCGTCTGAAAGTGAAACATCAGGAATCAAAGATCGACAGTTTGACTGTGAGTCTGGAAGCTAGGGTAAGTTACTGTATATTTCATAAAAGTGTGGACATGGTCTACTCTTGGAGAACATCATCAAATGGAATTCAAGTTTCTTAAAGTGGTCTAATGCAATCTGCAAATGATAGTTATGTTGTTTTTAAATAGATAGATTTATTTCTACATCAGGTTTATTCATTGCGTTGTAAATCAGAAAATCGGAGACATTGATACAGCTGAACCTACTTTTAATTAAATAAGGAGAGTTTTTTAATCCAGGTCTTTCCAGTGTAGCTAATTCTGGTTCTGTTTAATTCTAGTTCCAGTTCGATGTATATAATCTGATGTCCCCTTTCAGTTTATATAATATAGAATCATTCATTCATCCATTACATTTGATTTAAAACTTTCTGCCCACGCTGTATTTTCATTCCAAGCTGCGCTTTCAATTTTCTTAATTTTCTTCTGCTTAATCAATCAGGTTTCTTTTCATTTGCTGCATAGGAAACTGAACCATAATTAAAAATAAATGAAGAATAACTGCATTATGCATGATGAGGAAGGGAAAATAAAATCTGGAAATTGTCAATGAAATTTTAACAAGAGGAGAATAATAATTGATATAGTCTTTATCACTGCGTTTAAGTGCGTTCGGAATCAAAATTTTGGAGCTACTGTTCGTCCTTGGCCTAAATTAGTGATATATTTTTCTAGCGAATAAGACGAGGATGTTCGGCAACAATGATATATTTTTTTTTTTTCTAGCGAATAAGTCGGTAATATTACGCATTATGCTCTGTGACCTTGAAACTATTTCACTTATCAAGAGTTAGAAGGCAGACCAGATGTGAGGGCAGAATATCTGTCACTTATTTTCCACACAAATTCCTTCTATGTATAAAAGAATATTACTGCCTTATCAGAGTCATGTGAAATTATTCTTGTCTATAACACTATATGTCTATAACACTATTTTGTCCGATTAGTACTTCAAGGCTTTCATTACAAAATACCTAATTTATTTATTCAGTATGCATAATCCTTTTACTTATATATATATATATATATATATGCATTCTTTGTTTTATCCCCTTTAATGTAGGTTTGTAAATTATATATTTATATTTGTAGTTATGTACTTGTAATTATATATTTGTAGCAGAAAGAGCTGGAAAGTATGACAGCAATATTTGAAGAAGTAATTACGAAGGCGGAAGCAAATGACGTTGTGGGTGATGCTTGATTTAAGCAAAATTTTGTCTTGTTTGATGGGACGTAATGCCAATGCTTATACATTACTTTACTATTTTGTTGAAATTATTTGAAAATTGTGTTCCTAATTTTTTATACACTAACTTTTATTATGTGTTTACTTAAGGATATCTTCAACTTACAAAACAGCTTAGAAATATGATTATTCAGATTTGATAATTTTCCAGTTTGTGATCTTTTCATTTGCTTCCTCATTTTTCTTCATTCCAGATTAGAAGTACGTCTGTGATTTTAGTAACCGAAAAGAAGAAAAACGGGGAAGCATATGTATACCGAAAATTCACCTAAAGTTTTCTGATTTTGATTTACAATCAGAAATTTTATTCTGCAATTTTTGTACTTCAGAAACGAAATATGAAGTAATGGAGGATATTTTATTAGTTGTACAGTAATGGTTTTATCTGTGTATGTTAGCGCTTGTGAATACAGTGAGCCTGAAAGGCATCTGTTCTTATTTAAATTTCGCTGTACTGTGTATGTGACACTTCATAGCTTTTTAATTTCATTTTTTATTTGTTTTAGACCGGTTTTCATTTACGTGGATCTTCGATTCCTAATCCAGCACATTAAGTCGTGCAACATTCTTCCAGATTTGAAAAATAACCTTTTCAAGGATTGTTACATGTGCTTTATTTTCATATTATGAGGAGATGGAAATTTTTCGAAATTCAAGTTTTTGAAACATTGTTTCTAGCTTTTTTTTATCTTGCCAATTGATTCCTTCCAGCTTAGTAATAGATCTCATCCCTCAGAATTGATTTTTATTATTCTTTTCATGTTCATAATGACAATAGTGATGAATTTCATTGGGGTTATATTCTGTACCTGAGTGGCAGGAAATATCGTTCGTTTAGCATAAGCAAATAATTAAAATAAAATTTTTTTTTCACTGAACAGGTATTTCTTGCTTCCTAGAGGGAGGAGGAAAGTAACGAATATTCATGGAGCACTTTTCGTTTCATAAACTATAGAAATTTGAGTTCATTTAGCATCATATTTTTTCTTAGGATTAAAAATTTTTGCAAGAGGTTTTAGGATTTTATTTAAGGTTCATGTTTTTGCATAATGTTTCTTAAATTAATTTTTATTATGAGAATTTGTATGTTTATAAGAATATAAGTCTTTAGAAAATACTTAAGAATTAGTATTTCTTTTCTATGATTGTAATTTATCCTGCTTTCTTTGCCTATTTCGTGATATTTTATTTTTCTTCGTATTATATATTTGTATGATGTTTTGGCATATGTGCTTGAAAAATGCTTTTAACTGACGATTTTCTTTTTCACATGTATATGTACCGCAAGTTGGTAATCAAACATAAGAAGTGAAGACGATGTGGTACTTCAAGTTATCCGGATCTTTTTATGCTCATCTTTCAGTTAATGCAGATAGTATTCTTCACGGCTCTTCCTAATTCACATTTTTTATCAGTAGGATTGTGCAATACATTTAATGAAATCTAGAAAGAAATTTGTCGAACAAAGTCTCTTATTTTCCTTTATTGAATTCTGCGCTGATTTCAAGTTGTAGCAAATTTTTTGAAAATAAAAAAGATAATTTTAGTTAAAGATTTGTGGTGCTTCTTCATGATTTAAGGGTTCACAAACGAAGATATGGATGTAAAGTTTTTTTAGATAGTTTGCGAAAGGTCACATAAGTCATAAGGGTGTTTTCATGTAATTCATTTCTCAACCGACTTGGTTATTTGAAAAGTGTAAAATAGCATTGGGAAACCATTTGGAGGGCAGTTCGTAAACGTTGAAAACAAGTCAAAATCCAATGGTATTTGAAGTGTTGAAGACGTTAATGTATGCTTCTGGGTGAAAAATCCGAAAATATTTGAGAGTTCTGAGTCAAAATTCTTTTTGCATTTAAAGTATGTACGAACAAAATTCGATGAAATTAAATTTTTTGTGAGAAGATTTCAAATTCATTCCATTATTTCACTTCAAGCGTATTTCATATATTTCCTTACTTTCTCCTTACTTTCACATAATAGCAATTTTAGCCAAATTACAAAACAAAGTGACATATGGAATAATAGTGAAAACAAAATTATATTTTCCTCAGGCAATAAGTTCAGCATCTTTCCTTTTGTGACTTTTTTCCTGATTTTCATAGACAATTTTTAATTGAAAACATTCATATTTAGATAGCGATGAAAAAAAGTTCCAGAAAAAACGCCGAATTTATTGCCCAAAAAAAAAAGCATTGTCTTTAGACATCGTACAATCTGATATAGATTAGACTGTCTCTCAAAAGCAAAATATCTTTACGAATCCATTCACAACGAAAAGGATTCTATATTACCAATGGAAAAAAATATGCAAAATAAAAAGCAAAGAAGTTGTTAGAAGCCATTCAGTCATGTGTTTTTTCAAAGCGAACAATGAAAAATTTTAATAAAGGATACATAAAAAGTGTGATATTGGAGATAGTTCCACAACAACGTAAACATATTAACTAATGACACCAAAACGTCAAAATGTGGAAAGAAGAATTACTGAAGAAATCCTGTTTGTAATCCAAAAATGCAGATAATAAAAGTGTTAAGTACTAAGTAATGCTTATTTGCTTACTTATTGTTCACTTAACTGTGATATTGGTGATAGCTTCCACAGTAACATTCACCTAATTTAAAAAATCCTGCAAAAATTTGTAATGGTTGAAGAAAAAAAGATCGAAGAACAAGTGAAGAAAAGTAGAATCCATAAAGTAAATAAAGTAATACCAAACTTTTTTATTGTAATTTTGAGCTTTCTATAAGATTTATTAACTGAAATACGAAAGTGATTTAACTGCAAAATTGAATCTTTTGAAAGATTTGTCATCAGTAAAATGAAAACATCAAATACAATAGTGAATTCATAATCTCAAGAGCTGATTAACACTTCAATTTCTTCCAAAACTATTGTCGTATTTGCAAAAACACATTACCTATAAGATCTAAGGCATCTATTTGCAAAAACACATTACCTGTAAGATCTAAGTTTTTAATTGATATCACTATCAGGCAATGATAATTATTTGAAAAAATGTAATTTGTGATCCACTAATTTTAATGAATTTTAGTTTTAAAGTTTTATTATCATTTCGACATCAAAATTTTTATGAATTTGATTGCTTAAATTACAAAACGATATTAAATTACAAAGTTAAAGTGTTTTAAATCATTCATCGCTAAAAAACAGTTCAAAATTATTAAATACTGTGAGTAATTTATCATCTTATTATTTTGTCAGTATTTCAATGCTTTTTTAAAGTATGTTGTAATTACTGGTAAGATAATACCTGCTGGACATTAATCATTTCAATTATTATATTATCAAAGAGATTAGCTTTTGGAGAGAAATGAAAAAATAAAAGAGATCCAATATTTTTAATGATTTTATTTTATTTTTTTATAGACTTTTTTTTTATATAGTAAATTTTACTGTCTCTTTTATGCTACTATCTTTATAACTTTATTATCTAAACGTAAAAGTGAAGTTAGCTACAATTCTAAAGTCTTTCAAATTATTTTAGAAAAAACTGATAGAAAATGATCAATACTATCAGTTTTATGATGTGGTCATCACTTCGATGTTAGCTTTTTCTTAAATATGTTATTGTTGTTATTAAGAATGTGTTACCTGCAAGGTTTAACTTAGAATATATATATAAAATCAAACAAAGTTCTTTTTGAAATCATCAAAGAAAATTTCAAATCAAAGCGATCCAATATTTCTAATGAATTTTAATTTTAAAGCATTATTATTATTCCGATGGTATTTTTAGAAGGTTTATTGTGTTATTTTAATTTAAGTGATGCTACTGCTGAAAGTATTCAGAATAAAAGAATTATTTGATTACCTCTCCCATTACTCTTATTGTGCATTCTGAAAGAGAAAAGACGAATTTGTTAAATTAGCTGCTTACGAAAGAGCAGAAATTTCGTTCTAGATGAGCTAAGATTAAGGTTTACTGAGCGGATAGATGAGAGAAGAGAGAAAGATTGGTTGAAAATTTTTAATGAATAATCATTTGATAGCATCGATATTTTAGAAATATATTCATTGTTAAGTGGTGAATATCATAAGTTGGTCGACTCCTATCGCTTTTTGCCGTTATTTATGATAACATCGAATTTTTTAAGACAAAAGATTGTTTTGTTTGTTTGTTTGAAAAAAGAGTAAAATGTCCAGCAATCAGCACAAAAACTTTTCAGCAGAAACTTTCAGTCTACTCGCTCATATGATGAATATGACATTAAACAAAGCTGAACAGGTTCTTATCTCTTCCTTACTTTTCATTAAAGTGAAGTTCACGCTAATCTTAAGCTAAAATTCAGTTAGTTCTTTTATCTCACATTCATTCAAATCTTTTTTCGCCATCTGTTCTCAACTATCAGTGATTATATTAGAACGCTTTCTTGGCATGCATGGAGTTTATGAAGCAACTTTTCTTTTTTTTTTTTTTTTTGAAGTACTTTAATATTACGCGTTCAAATCATGCAGTGCAATGAAACACCTGGGTTTAATCTATGTTCTGACAATTACCTTCAGAGATGAATGGGCATGTGCTGAAGATACTTGTTGGTTCATAGATCATGACATTGATTATGATCAATCGATGTTGTCATGGATTCTTTATGTGATATACTATTTCCTTTTTTTGACTTTTTGTGTCAACGAAATTTCGCCACTCCAATTTGCCTATAAAATCATTACCAAAGAAAATGTCATAAAACAAAAGCAAAAAGTTATGAGTTATAAATTTCAGAAATGACCAAATTATGCAATTTTTTTTGATTAGTAAGCAGTGATGCTTTTTTTTTTTTTCAGCTGTCTCAACGCAATCAATTACCAACTGAAAACCTAAGATCATATGAGAGTTCCGAGATGAAAGACAAGAATGAAGTATCATCAGAAAGTGGGTTTTCAATAATTGAATAGTAAATTTCAATTAAAATTTTTTAAGTCAGATAATGTA